ATAATGGGGGGGATTTGGGAATTAAGGGTCAAATTCACACTTCCACAACTTCATTTTAATTAAGAAAGTTGGAGGTGTATTCTCTTCTGGGAACTGGGGCAGAGGGAAGGTATGCAGCATTAGGTATGAATCTTGAAAGGAACGGTGACTCTGAAACAGTCATAAAAAAAATGGGCAGGATTGGTGAACTACAGACAACATTAAGGACTCCTGTGTGGCACTGACAATACTGATGAAGCTGATTTTGTTTTCTTAATAGCACTTGGCCATAGAAATCAACTATGAGACAGATGTGGGAACATGGTTTCCAACCATGCTGAAGAGGAACCCAATGTACAGCTAACTGGGTTTGAAGCTAGGTAAGGACTGGTAGGTAGTCTGAGAAAATCTGGGGGGTTAAAGAGTAGGTTTTATGAGAGCAGGAAAAGAAGAGCTCTGCTCTCCACTTTCATTATCATCTTTCTGTTGACAGGCATAAATGTCTGTGTTTGTTACAGCAATTGAGGGAAAGGGGGGAAAGAGAGAGAGAAAGAGAGTGAAGGAGAGAGGTAAGTCATTCTTTCAACATTCCTTTAATATTTTTCTTAGAAGACATGAATCATCTAAATCATCCCCCCAAAGCCCTTTTAAATCCCAACACTGAGAACAAAATTACGATTAAATGTTTAATTAATGTTTATTATAGCCAGAGTGTTAGTTTTAGAAAGGTCAAATTTATGATACAATAAAGTAATATTTTTCACATTCTATGGGTCTATTTTATAGCACATTGGGGCCCACAGAATAATAAATATCTTCTGTTATTTTGTAAGGTTCTCTTATGCAAAGCTGTGTAGGACCTAGCTAATAGTGAATCACAAGTCAAATGAGCTGGCATGAAATTTAGGCAAGTCACTTTATCTTTAAGGACTACAGTTTTCAGACTTGTAAAATAAAGGAAAGGAATAAATCTCTAAGTATCCTTCCAGATTAAAAACAACAACAACAACAACATGTGCATAACTTAATTATAATGTTTTATATTGCTATAGAGTTTATAGTTTTTACCCCTTTTCCTTTAGGACATTTTGATCCAGCTCTAATTTACTGATCTTTAGTTTTTGATCAGGAACACAAACTCCAATGACAATACCATCTGTATGGGAAATAGAATCCATTTGACCACAACTGATGTTCCAGTTTTTCTATTCTCTGCCCAGATTTACTCATCGAAGGCTTCATCTCCAAAAGTTCAGAAACATTAAATCTCTGGTGACTGTGCCTTCCTGAGGAGCACAGCAATAAAATATTATGTTGCCTTGAGGAATTGAGCCCCTAACTTCAGTGGGTGAGTGTTAGGCAGCAACCCAGCATATCTTCATTTGTAATTGAGGATAATATCGGAAAAGGCCTATGAGGCATCTTATTAGCATGCCTAAGATGTAGAGTGTGCAGAATACACTGAACAGCATGATGAGGAGGAAATAATCAAAGCACAGCACTATGCCTGTCCCTCATTTAGATGTCTCTCTTGTCACTAGATGAAAACTAAACAGAATCCATGATTCATGTTTGGGTTACAGAGGGTCCCTTGGTCACTTTAGGTCGGAAAATGCAGTTTTGATTCAAAATTAAATTGGACAATTCCACAAAATTAATTAACTCTTCCATCTTTATTCAAAAGATGCCATCTCCTTTAATTCCCCTAGATGCTTAATCCATCAGAGTTCACAGGTGGGGGAAGGGATGGGGAGGACAGGGGAGGAGAGGACAGAGTTCTCATTAGCCTGGTGTTCATCACTGTCCTAAACAAGCCTGGCAGGTGTTTTGTGCTGACTCCCTCCCTGCTGCCTCTTTGTTGCCTCAATTACAGTTGGATGTTCTGGAAAATATTCCTCTGATGTGGATAACTATTTTTTCTCCACCTATCAGGTTCCTATTTATTTTTGTTCCATCCACTGTTGTTTGTTTGTTTTGTCTTTTTTGTTGTTGCTGTTGTTTTGTTTTTTAAAAATTTATTTACTTATTCATATAGAACTGGGGTCCAAGCCAGAGATGCGGAGGGTGAGAAGATTCACCAGAGACAGAGTGGGGAGCAGAACAGGCAGATCTACGAAGTATACTGCTGAGGGGAGCAGCGGGCAGGTCAGGAGAGGTCTGCCACACCATATGGTCACCTCCAGGGCAGGCGGGGAACAAACTCATGCAGAAGTGGCTTTAGCTTCTTAGTGCTGTGCTTTAACCCACTGCACACCAAGGAGGGCCTATTTTGTCTTGTTTTTGATGGAAGTGGTGGGGGGTTCCTAATCTCTCACAAGAGTCAAAATGGACAGGCTAGCTTGAGCAGGGTGCCTCCAAAAATGACCCCATGACAACAGAAAATTATTTCTTAAATAGGGCACATTAAAGATTGATAATAGTATTTCATTATGATTTTTCAGTTTCCTTAAGATGTATAAAGATGAAAAGAATGTCACTCCCACTTTAGCCACAAGCAAAAAGCTGAACAGCCTACAAAATGAGAACTTTCCTTAAACCCCTCTGAAAGTAAACATTGCAGAGCAATAAACTAACCCAGAATTTCAAAAAATCATATGGCATATGAAATGAAGTATGGCGATTCATCCAAAAACTAAAAATAGAAATTCCAGATGATCCAGTTATCTCACTTCAAGATATTTATCCAAAGAATATGAAAACACTAACTTGAAGTGGTGTCTGCCACCAAAACTTAGAATTAGCCTACCTTCCCAGTGATGAGTGGATAAAGAAAACATTGTACATGGCCTCCCTGGTGATTCAGGGGTTAAAGTTTCAGCACTATCAAGATATGCTGGCCACTGGGGCATGAGTTTCATCTCCTGCCAGGGAGTTAGCCCATATGGTGCTGCAGACCTCTCCTGTCTCACCTGCTGCTCCCCTGAGCAATGTATTTCTGTAGATCTGCCTGATCTGCTCCCCACTCTGTCTTTGGTGAATCCTCAACCACCCTACCCCACACCTCTAGCCTACATCCCATTTCTTGTATGCATAAATAAATGAAATAAACCTTTTTTAAAAAAAAAAGAAAATGTAGTACATATACATACATAGTGGAGTAGTATTCAGCTATACAAATAAGATGAAATCTTACCATTTGCAACAGTATGAAATTATTCAGATGGGGGAAAATGGATGAGTTCACTCACGTATGGTAATAAAGAAACAAAACAAAAAACATGAACTCAATGAAACAAATAAGGTTTTCATCTACTAAATGAGTGGTTACTCAAAGGAGAAGAGAGGGGAGCTGGGGAAAATGGGTTAAGGGGTCAATTCTACAGTGGTGGATAGAATTAGACTTTTGTGGAGAATGTAACAGAGTAAGTATAGATCTTGATTTACCATGTAATCTAAATAAAATTTATTCAATATATATATATATATATTTAAAAAACACACACACACTGCTGCAAGCAGGGAAGCACTATCAGAACTAGCTTCTATGAGGGTAAACACCTAAGAAAAACAAGGCTACCAAAGAAGTGGGTAACAAGTTTGCAACTAAATCTCTGCGATGACTGTATAGATAAATGTCAACAATTTGTTATTACGGAAAAAATATGAGTATAGAAGTAGTGGAAGTTATAAACACTGGGAATTTACACTCCCTCGCAGTTTTTTATTCATAAGCCTGGCAGAATGCTCCTAATAATGATTAGAGTCAGAGTAGAGAAGAGCAAACCTCCTATGGTGGTTCAAGTCTGCAAGAAAGGAACAAAGAGCTATAGCAAAATATTTGTTGGGGTTGGGGGGTGAGTAGGGAGAAATGAACAAGCCCACCAGGCCACAAGTACAGACCCATTCCACACGTCCTCAGACCCTGGGGATAGAAGAACAAGCTTTCTTCCACACGAGACCCACTTTATTCCATGTATGCTTACCTCAATGCAATACAACAAAAAGAAAGTATCACTGCATAGCTCCAGAGTTAATGATAATGTGAAAAAAATAATATAAACAGACTAGGAGAATCTAAGGACTGGCCTTGGCCCCTGACCTGTGTGTTTCTTATATTTCCTGTAGATAGACCGGAGACACTCATTAGCTCTATAGCCATGGTAGAGCAGGCATGATGTAGCTTCTGTTTCTTTGAGGCTCTAAGCTTATACAAAGTGAAAGAAGTAACTTAAAAAAAAAAAGATGCAAAGCAAACATTTTTCTTCTAATGTTTTCAAATAGAAATATTTGTTTTTAATATGCTACTAATTGTTATGCTGTAACATACCAGGGGTTTTTTCCAATCAAGAGAAAAATTTCTTGTTGCCTACTATGTCCTTTATTAACAAATCCCAATTTATGCATTTCACCCGTCAGGAGTCCTACACCTGTGCCTGATCTAGTGAATGCATTATTCCCAACACAGTCATTCCTGCTTTCAGTTATGAACTGAAGTACCTGCTTTGTATTCCCTATCACTGTGAGATACTGGTTCTCAATCCTCCAACTGCAGGGGTTCCCCATTAAACTCTCCAAACCATGCAAAAGTACTCCCATTGGGTCTGAGGAAGAGGGAAACTCCACCAACTCTCTTTCACTTGACTGAAGGTTGACACAGCTCATCATCTCTCCTCAACATATCTCTTTACAAATTCCTTCCTTAACTTGAACTTTATTTTACATCATATGAATGAGAGTTCCAAGAGTCTCTGAACCGTCATCAGATGTTTACTTTATAATGACACTCTGCATTTTCATCCACCACTTGACTCTGGTGTGTGGCTTTTATGGCTGATACTGGGTAGGCATGGGTCAAAACTTTAATATTAATATCCTGTTATAGTAACTTTAGATTGAATAAATGGAATTATTGATTGGTAAGTATTCTGACCTTAAAGAATTTTAATTTCATGTGGTTCAAATTAATAATTTTACTGAAGAAAGACTTTTAGAGAAACTGAACTTTAGATTGGGTTTGAACAAAAGGAAGAAAATAAATTCTTAAATGAATGACTAGTCAAATAAAACTTTCTATGACTTACTTTGGCTTTCAGGTCAGCACATAATTCCTGTTGCTTTTTCCTATCCTTCACCAATGCACTCTCCATTTCATGAGCTACACAGGCCTCCACAAGTGTTACCACGGCCTTCTGTATAAAGTCTCTCCTAGTCTTATTCCAACTTGATATCAGGATCCTTCGCTGCTCCTTAGCAAAGTGATATTGATCACAATATTTCTCATGTCTTACCTGAAAAGATAACAGATGGTAAAAAACTTATTATGAAAGAAAGCCTATATACTATGTCATTGTTTCAAAAACAAATAAAATGAATTATAACTAATGATTTTGAAAAACTGGGCCAAACATCTTCCTAGTAAATATAGCAACTAGTATCATTTATCAGCCTGAGAGCCTTTGGCTAACCAGTAACCAAAGACAAGTCATTTCACTTTTTTTTTTTAAGTCCTCAAGTTTTTCACAAAGGAGGCAGTCAGACGAGTGACCCTAGAACAACTTTTATTTTTCCATGGCAATGATTCTGTAAGTAGCAAACATCATTTACCATACGTATAATTTCAAAAATGCTTCCTCTTTAAATTAGTTTCACTGTTATAATTACTTCAGTAACTTCAGTCAAGCTCATGCCAATAAACATGAGATATCACTACAATAATCCTGAAAACTCACTTGTGTGAGCACTGAAGTATTCAGGTGTTAGTATGTCTGCACATACAGTAATTACAGCAATGACCCATCCGTTCAGCCTGAGAGACATGGCACATTGGACGCAGTAGTTCCTGTTGGCAGTGAATCCCCATCAAGTGAGACCTCAGTGTCTTGAGGAAACTAAAAGGAATGTAAAAGATACCCTGAGAGACTGAAAAATCTCCATGGGTGATTCTGAAATGCTCCACAAATAAAGGTATCTCTTCTGAAATTAGAGTTACTGACCTAAAGAATTTTTGATTTTTTCCGGTATATGCCATGTCTCTGAATTTGAAACTTTAACACTCAAATATGTGAACAAAGTAAGTAAGCGAATAGGAAGGGGTAATTTCAATGTAAAATACTACCTCAGTATGGTTAAACAGATACTATAAGGCAGGACATCGCTTCTTAAGCCACATATCTACTACTAAAATCTGTCTTTTAGCCATCTTAGCTCTTTCCAAAAATCAAAGGTTGACTTAAAATTTGTGAAATATTTAGAAAGGAAGCATATACCATACAGAAATGCACATCAATCAACCCATGTAAGAATTAAGTGTAAAAGCCATTAACACATCAATAAAAGCTAAAAAGAAATGTACAAATTAAAAAATGACTATTATAGAAGCAAGTAGAATAAATATGGAATGAAAAGAAAGGCCTAATTCAATAGATTAAGGTCCTAACAATGGAGAGTATGTTATTATCTAACCTGTTTGTTTTTATTTTACATAACAGGCATCCATTACAAAATAATGGTTAAAATTAAACAAATAATTATTGCGGGAGATGGGATGGTGGTGGAAGAGGGTAGGAGAGAGTGGTAACACTAGCTATATGACCTTTACTTTAGTTTCCTCATCCATAAAATAAGGATAAGAATAGCACTTCTCTCATCTACTGTTTGGTGCATTACAGGAGTTTACACATGACTGACATAAGTAAGTTTTATACACAGGTAGTATTGTAATTTGCTTAATGTAAAGTAATTATAAAAATTCACAATGTCTCAAATGGCAAATAGGCACATGAAACAATGTTCACTATTTCTTATCAATGCAAATCAAAGTGTGGAGCTATCATCTCACACCAGTGAGAATGACTATTCTCCAAAAGACAATAAACAAGTGTTAGAAAGGGACACTTAGACATTGTTGGTGGGATTATAAATTGGTGCAGTCAATGGCAAGTAGAATGGAGATTGCTTTAGAAATCCATGTCATTCCATTGTCTCACTTTTGGATATTAACCCAAAAAATACAAAAACACAAATTCAAAAAGACATATGCACCCATATTTACTGCAGCACTATTTACAATAGCCAATAACTGAAAACAATCTAATAGCCCATTAGCTGACAAATGGATAAAGATTATATACTCATAGAATATTACTTTAGCTATGTAAAAAAAAAAAGTCTTATCATTTGTAGTGACAACATGGAAGGAACTAGAAGGAATTTTGTTTAGTGAAATAAGTCAGAATGAGAAAGACAAATATTGTCTGACTTCACTCATGGTATACTGAGAAAAATGAACTCAAAAAACCAAAAATAAACATTTGGATTATAAGACCGATTAGTAGCTGCTATAAGGGAAAGGGAAAAAGAAGTGGGTAAATGAGGAAAAAAGATAGAATGGCACAGCAAAGAATACGGTTTTAGTAGTGAACTTAATGTAGTGTGCATATATGTTGATTCTTAATCCTGCGCTCCTGAAATTTGTGTTAAAATGCAATGCTTTTACAACAAAAAAGAAATCTAATGCAGGTGTATTAAAAATACAAATAATAAAAATAAAGCTTTAAAGTAATAGGAGAAAGTGATATTTAATACAATTTAATACTGTATCATTATTTATTGGCTTCCTAATTTTAAATATATATGTTAGGCCCTCTCTGATGGCGCAACAGGTTAGGGCACAGCACTGCAAGCTGGCAGAAGCCACTTTAGTGTGAGTTTGATCCCCGGCCCCAGAGGTGATCCACATGGCTGGGTTGACCTCTCCTTTCTCTCCCACAGCTCCCCTCAGCGATGTACTTTATCAATCTGCCTGTTCTGCTCCCTGCTCTATCTCTGGTGACTCCTCCCACCACCCCTGCACCTCTGGATCCATAAATAAGTAAATCTTAAAAAAAAAAAACAAATATACATGTTTATTACTCTGTGTAAGGTCTAACACGTTGACTAGCATGCTCATATTTGTCTTCTACCAGTTTATCCTGAGTGCCTAGCACTGTGTTTCACCATTGCACATGGTAAGACAAGGATTCACTTTTGTTTCTCTATCCAAGAGATTCATCCATGTAAGCAAGTCATTCTTTGTATCTATTCACAATTTGAGCTGTGAATGGAATTCTGCCAGTGCTATCTCTGAAGACCCCCTATTGCCATCTCACTCCCCACCTCCCTAAGGGAACCACAGGGAAGATCTCTGGAGTAAGCAAGAACAGAAGAATAAATACGTCCAGACAGTTCTCCCACCTCTATGTGGACTATACAAACTTGAAAAATAATATACTGTCAACCTATAACTTGATTATTTCCTAGAGTTTTAAGTATAAGCTAAGTGTATACTTAGCTTAAAATCTACTGACTACTAAGGCAATTAAACTTGCCAGTATATAGGATCTAAAACTTACCAAATCACGCCTGGATTTGTGAGGAAAATGTCTTTGCAACATGTCCAGATACAGAGTTCTTCTGCCACAGAGATCTCCAGGATACTGATCCAAAACAGCCTGGTAAATCCAGTGATCTTCCTCACTTAACTGGAAGTTTCTGAAGCAACAAAAAATATTGTTAAGCAGTCATGGAGTCTGAGGGACTCAAACTTGTTCAAACCATTAACAAATGATAATAATTATATAATGTGAAGGTTTTAATAAACATGTAAGTTAATTCATGTCTGCAATGGATACATTTCTAAATTCTAATACAGTGGTTTCTTTTATCTTTTTATTTGTTCTAGGAATAATCTGAAGTAGTTTAACGAGACAGAATATTTTCAAACACTTATTTTATTTTGCCTTAACAACACTAAAATTTATTTTTACCAATGAATAAAGTGAATAAACATTGAGAAATAAATTATTAAGCATGTAGATTTAAAAAAATTGCTTATTAAACAAAGTTCCTATGGTTAGACTGGAGGAAAATACAAATGGAGATAGTTAAATGGACAATTACACAAAACAAGGCACTAATTTAAGGTTGAGCTTTAAAATCAGGTCTAAAGCTGTCTTTTACTTTATTCTACCTTCTTGTTTTATTTTGGTAGTGGAAAGAAAGTCAATGACATTAAATTTTATATCATTAACGCAATCATTTGTAAACAGGATCCTGCATGCAATGTGCCCACCATGTTCCAAAATGCCTTTTTGTTTGAGGACACTCCTAGGCACTGGGCTGGATTGTGTTCTACACAAAGTATAAGTTGGCCCAATGTAGAGTTAAAAGGTTGCAATATCAGATTAAACTCTAAACTGAATTGATGTCTCTTTATTATTCTGAGTGTATTTGCATATTATTCTTGTTTAATAAATTGGAGTAATCAAATACAAATGCAATCATAGGAAATATTATTAGTAACAAATATCTCTTTAATTCAAGATGGAGACTTGCTAGTATTTTGTTCTATTCTATCAAGGGCCTTCTGTCTTCTACTTTAAAGTTAATTGGGCAATTAAAAGAATGTTTTCATTATATGTCTTCTATGCCCTTGAAAAATATTTGATATGACATAAAAAGGGATAAAACACCTTTTAAATCAGTGATATTAATAAGAATCCCACTGTCCTCATACAAAGTTACCTAGTTTTTATAAAGGATTTCATTATTCTAATAAGGAGCAAGAAAAAAATACCCTATTTCAAAGAAGAGAATCTATAACAACTCTATAATGAGGAGGGAAAGTGAGTTGGAGGTGTTCAAGCAGGTATAAGTATACTTTATAGTTCTTAAGCATGACATAATCTATTGCAGAGCTAGAATTTGAGATGAGTTCATTCACTGAACACATTGAGTGTTTTTGATTTTGTCTGAATCAGTTTTTCATGTATAGATGGTAAAACACTTCTGCAAAGAAAGCATTTCAAGTAGGTATATTAAGCCTGGAGAAAGGCTTGTCTGAGAGTGTTTGTCATTTAAAACACCCTCAACTCTTTAGGGACAATATCTCAGGTCCTCTCTCAAAGAACTAATTTTCATTCATGCTAACATAAATGCATTTTAATAGCAGAGCTAGCCACAGACATTTCTGTTAAGATGGCAAGAAACAACAAGAATGGACTGATGGTCCATATTCTCATTAATTCATTTGAACTGTTTATATAATCAAAAAATCTTGAATACAGTTTGGATTTCCACCTCTCTTTGATTAAAATTGTGAATTTATATGCTTGGGAGGGGAAAGTGACAGAATCTAGGTCCAACAACTGTTCTGTTCTTTTAAATTGTCACTCATCTATATAATGGACACTGTTGGTGTAATGCTCAGAACACCCTTATTAGCTAGAATTCCCATCACAAGATGCTCATAACTCACAGATGTACTGCTCTGGAGAACCACTCTGGGCTCAGTAGGAAGTGCATCATCTACTTTCTCACCCTTTTTCTATTCACAATCAATGACTGTCTGGCATGACGGTACAGAGGCCAGTCCACTAACTTCAAGACAGGACCAATGCTTTGATACCATTCATGCCCCCACAATTCACTGTGGGAACAAACTGCAGCCCATTTCCATTGCAGTCTCTTGCTTGCTTAGACCTTCTTCCCTGCTCTGTCCTATTTCCCTACCATCCTCTCCTGAGAGATCACTTTGTCACAATCCCTATCTCAGCTTGCAGTTACTACAGACCAAGGTAAACCACACGTAATGTTACCTATAATTTCTAAGAATAATTTAATTTCTTTTGCTAAATGGAAATGTTTTAAGCTAATTGTTTTGATGACCTCCCATACTAAATGATGGTGCAAGATTGTGACTGTCTGTAAAGGAAAATTACAAGTGGCAAACATTTACAAAAGTGTTTTCAAATAAAAGCATTAAGTAATGTTCACAGCTATGAGTAAACAAGGAAGTGAATTTATGGCAAACACTACATTTTTATACACAGATCTATTTTGCACAGATCTATTAATTAGGTCCCATTTGAGCAACATTAAAGCCACTTAAATATATGAAATAATAATATAACATTAAAACCAGATATTTCAAACCAAGGAAGCCACAATGATCACAACCACTCATTTTATCCTCTGATTTTAGAAACCTCACATTGCAAAAACTTTTTCCAGTTACCACAACTACACAAATTAGAAGTCATTTTTCTAGGATATATAGAATAAACATGAAAAACATGATTAAAAGGAGAGATATATACACACATGCACTTCCAATATTGTTATTTTCAAAGTATTTGTAGCAGTTTCCAGAGCTTCAGGCTTAAATCAGGAGACAAAGATTCACATCAGCAAATACTAATGGCTCAGTCATACATCTCTATTACAATGCTGCTTGTGAGGGAGAAAACTCCCACCACTACAGAGCTACCAAGCCTCTGAATAGTAAAAATCTAAGAGGAATATTCAAACATAATAACCTCCTCACAATAACAAAGTATCCAATTCCTGTTTAACTCTAAAATATAAAAATTAATATGTCTGCATTTCTAAATTCAAATCTGAACATGTCTCTGTCCTATCCAATCCTTCATCATTTCATTAAACAGAAAAATCCACTTAAAAGACTGAGGAAAAGGTTAGCTTTTATTTCCAAAGTTCTTACTTCGCTTGACTGCTTGATGATGACTATGATAAAACTAGTTAAGTTATACAGATAATGGAAAATAACTCTGATCATTTACTGAATCCTGAATTAAAAAAAAAAAAGACCATAATTTTTTAAGAAAAAAAAGATCCTAAACCTCTGCAATTTTTAAAAATAGAAAAGATCTTCTGAAGTTATTTTTGTCCACACAAAGTTCTTAAAGTGTTTTGTAAGTTTTATCTTTATGATAGCATACAAGATTTTATAGTTCATAGGTTTATTGAACATTTTTAACATCTTAGGAAAATTTCAGCCAGAAGGCTGAGGTAGTTATCATTCAACCCCTACCCATCATCTACTGCCCCAAAAGTTGAGGTCCACAAATATAATTTCATTAATGATTTGTTAAGTGTGGCAATACACAATACAGAAGGGACCTCAGAACTATGAGAATTCAAGCTGGCTGAGTCCAACTGTTACCTTAATTCTACCTGTTTGAATCATTCAAAAAATTCTACGCTTACTCACAGGCAACTTATCTGTAAGTGTTCTTCATAGTCACACATAACACACTTCCTTAGAGTTCTATTTTCATGCTATCAATATACATTGGATGGCAGGGGAGTAGAAGGGGAAAGACACAGAAATGTTGGTAAACAAGATATATAAGGATAACAGGTACTTTAATAGCAGAATCAAGTCTATGCAACTAAATGCTACCCACAAACTGGTTGAAAGGTACTATATTTTCTCACAGTGAAGGTAGATTTCCAACAAAATGTTAATTAGAGTTTCCTGAAGGTAGCTAACTGCAGTTATCAGCAGCTAACAACTGTACCAAGATGGGCAAATGTCCATAGTGTATCTGTTCTCACAAAATTCTTATCTCTTCAAGAATAACAATGTCAGGGGATACCTATTGTTCCTCTACTATGAAGCAGGATTACAGTAATCCACCATGAACTTACATAGATTAAAAGATAACTCCAGCACAATCTATTTGTGGACTGGGTCTCTCCCTCTGGAAAATCCAAAATAAAACTTGACTTTAAAGTTGTATTAATTTTATTGAGGCAATGTTGGTTTAAAACACAGCATATAATTTAGAGGTATAGGTTCACACTTCTACGGATGGATGTTATCTCACAAAGCTTAACACCAAAGAAGCTATAATCCTCCTCCATAGCCTTTTCAACCTTGTTTTTTCAATTCAGATCCAAACACCCAATGTAATTAGTCTTGTTCCTGAAACTATTTACCTACCCAATCACCACAACCTTACCCCACTCTAGCTCCATTATACAAATATGTCTATCTTTGATTTTCAGTTAGATATACTGGGGACTCCCTGGCTCCAGCCCATTTCTGAACAGTGGTATCTGCTCTTTGGAGTTTGCTCAGGTATATACAATGGCCTTCCCAAAAGACCCAGTCCCAGTTCTCACCTCCAAGGTACCTAAGCTCTGCTTAGTCTGGCTACTGAGGAGGGAGTCGACAGCCAGAATAAAGTGGGCTCTCAGAAATCTGGTCCAAAATCTACTGAATTAAAGAATCAACAACAAGGTGACCCAACTCAAATGTAAATGAAAAGAATAAATAAAGATAAGATCATCTAAATATATTTCCTTTGATTTTCAACGAAAAAACCTTCTATTAAGACAAGTCAATTTCCATGTTAGAAGAATTTTATTCTTCACTTTTGGAGAGCAAAACACTGATCGGATTATAGGAAATCCAGACTCCTCGATTTTAGAACCCTGCCACAGTTCTACTTTCTTGTCAGGAGAGTATGGTTTTGGATGGAAGTGCAGTATCTGGCTTTACGTAATAGTCACCTTAGTAAAGTCACTTTGACTTGGGCTGGGTATTCTCTTCCAGACAAAGATAGCTTATTTGATAGCTAACTGAAGGGGATAAATGACATTTTAATGCAGCATACTATTGATAATACTGCTTTAAAAAGAAAGTACCAGATTAGAGAGATGCAAATTTAGTGTGACTAGACTAG